CCCCCACTCGGATTCCACTGGTACATAAGTGTATCCATATCCCCCGAGTGAATCCAGTAAGGGTGGATCCGAGATAGTCTAGTGATCTTGTCTTCCTGTACATCGCTCATACTAGATCCATCGTCATCCATACGGGGTGCCGCTCGTCATGGCTAATCCACACAGGCAACTTCCATCCGTGCCACAACCCAAATCCTCTCTAATCACTTGAAATTGTCATTGATTCGGGATAGTGACCCCGCGTCAGGCCCATTCTCTTATTTCTGAGAAAGCACTTCACCACAATCGCCTCCTGTACGTTGTCGGCGCTGCACAACAGCGTTCACGGCGTGCATTACCAGCATCCACAACCGCTTTCTCCCCTTCGCGACACATGTCTCCCGCCAAGCGTACCGGCAAATCGTCGGGCAAGGCCCCATCCACCACCCCTCCGGTCAGTCCGTCTTCTATGTCGCCCACCGATCTGCGGGTTCTAGCCCAGGCTCCTTCCGATCAGGTGCAAACCCTGACGGCGGAGCTCCAGACTGCTCAAGATGCTCAAGACCAAGCTGCGTCTCTGCACACTACCCAACTTCAGACCTTGCGAGCCCAAATCCATGACCAGGCTATGGAGATCCAGGGGTGGGAGCACCGTGCGGCCTCTCGGTCGCAGGACCTGCGACTCTTGTTGGCTGATCAGGCGGTCGAGATCCGCGACCTGACCGGATGGCTGGATCGCGCCTCCCGTCAGCGAGATGTCATGCGAGATGACAACGACCATCTCCTTAGGGAGATGGCGCTCGCCGGATCTGAGATCCACCAGCTCCAATCCCGGATCCACGACCTCGAGCGGGATCTGGAGGATTCCCAGACTGCTGGGGCAGCTGCGGATGCGAGCTTGGACCGGCTCCGTGACGAGTTGCGTCTGACCCAGGAGGAGGTGGTGACCAACGACTATGTGGGATCCACCCATGGCGGATCCGCCTTAGGGTCGGCGCGTGGAGGGTCCCCCGCGCCAAATCCACCTCCCTCATCGCCGGATGTAGCCCTGGCTCAACTCTCTGAAGAGTTGCAAGACACCAAGGAGTCGCTCGAGAAAGCGTCTGCCGGACGAGATTACGCGCTCGAAGAATTCGTGCGCATGACTCAATTGCGCGACGAGATCCAAGCGAAGCTGGCGGACAGCGAACTCCAGCGGGGACAAGGCGGCTACCGAGTGGGCGGATTCCAAGCGTGCACAAACAGAGCTGGAATCCAAGCTTCGCCGCACGAGTACGTGGATCCTCTTTTAGTCCTTGCTAGTAACCCCATATTCACTCGTTATTGTCAATCCAGGTGACAAATTGAAAGAAGCCGATGCGACCGCCGCGAAACTCCGGGATCAACTCGCTGCAGCTCATGTTCAGCTCCAGCAGCTAGTTCTG